CGTGCACGCGTGCACGAGGCCGCCGCCAGCCCCGTTCCAACTGAACCGGTTGGAACAGGGCGAGAAACCCACCCCTGATAGGTAGATACACTACCCACTATTCGTAAAAGAAATTGGACCCACACCTCTATTTTTATGCTCTCAAATATAAGCAAAGGAGATGATTTGCTTATTTCAGGCCATCAGATATTAAACCATTCAATGTTCCTAACTAGTAGTATTAGCAATACATGACACTTTAAAATTGGTTAGGATGCCAGTTCTGACGCTGACATTCCATAGCTGATATTCCTAATACAGTACATATTTCTTAAAAATAGCTAAGGAAGCTAATAGATGATTTAACCAATAATGTAATTGAAAATTAAACAGCCTTAAGTGCAACCTATAAAATAGCATCAGGAAATACGCTAGCACCGATTAGCACCTTCTAAACAGCACAAAACAGGATTAATACCGCAACAACCAAGGCACTGTGAACATTTTCTTTTTAGTAAAAGTCTTTGCCATTCAGCAAAATATGATAACCGAGGAGGGTTTTCACAGCTGTGGAAAATCCTGTTTCTCCCTGGCTAAAGACAACTGGAACATTTTAGAACTCCCCTAGCTTTGAGCATACGCCAGGGATACACAATGTGAGGCCCTAACAAAGTCCTAAGGCAGGGGTCAGCAACCTGCAGCTCTGGAGCCGCATGTGGCCCTTTCATCCCTCTACTGCGGCTCCCTCTCACCAGTCAGCTCCACAATTGAAGCCACACTAGGAGGATACTCTATGGTGGGGGAACCGGACTTCTGGTCGACTCCAGAATTGAATGGGGGTTTCTGGTTAGGATTTCTGTGGCTCTTTAAGTGTTTAAGGTTGCTGATCCCTGTCCTAAGAAAAAGGGGAAAAACTTGTCAACATGGGAGCCATGACTATGTAGTTGGTCCCACCCTTTTTACAGCATACTGTACATAAAAACGGAGCAAGGATTTGATTGCCTACTTGTGATTGTCTTCTTGGCATATTTAATCCCACCCGCATGGGCACCCATGTACTCATTCTTTCCAATGGACAGTTCCAAGTAGCAATATAGCCCTCATATAGCAGACATATCACAGCATCCAGATGCCAACCTTTCAAGGGAGGCCAAGTCAAGAAACAGAGATGCCAAGAATTCCAGGAAAGTTCTTCATTTTAGTCAGGTGGGCTTTATTTTGTCCTGGTGCCTTTAAGTCCTACTTCTGGCCACAGAGGTGTCTGTGGTTTTCTTGGCAACTTTCTCAGAACTGCAGGTAGTCCTTCATTTACACTCCAAAGTTCGGTTGCTAAGTGAAACATTGAACTCGGCCCAATTTTACAGAGTTTCTTGCCACAGTTGTTAAGTGAATCGCTGCAGGTTGTTAGGTTGGTGACACGGTTGTTAAGCAAATCTGGCTTCCCTGTTGACTTTGCTTGTCAGAAGGCTGCAAAAGGAGATCACATCACCCCCAGGACACTGAAACTGTCATAAATATGAGTCAGTTGCCAAGCGTCTGAATTTTGATCATGTGGCCATGGGGATACCACAACCATCACTTAACAGTCAGTTAAGTGTGGAAAACAGTCATAACTTGCTTTTTTCAGTGCCTGTTGTAACCTTGGTCACTAAACTAATTGTTGTAAGTGGAAGGCTACCTGTAGTTTGCCCTCCCCTCATTCCTAAGGCTGAGAGAGAGAGAGAGAGAGACTGGCCTACAGTCACTCAACTGGCTTCATTTGTCCCTTGGTTTCCAGCCTTTAACCACCATCCTCAACTGGCTTCCAATGTAGTAAGATAGTGTGATAAAATTTTAAAAGCCTGTTCAAGTTTCCCTCTGCCCCATCTTACTGTTAAACAAATTCAAGACTATTTTGACTTCACATCTTGTGGTTCCCTCTCCTCATTACTGTGTAAGGTTTCAATAAAGGGGAATATTTGTTTGAATGGGCCAACTTGCCACAGTCAACTCAGCATGGCCAATTTGCCATGGCCAACTCACAGCAGCCAATGGCCAACTTGCCATGGCCAACTCGCCACGGGACAATTTAACAATTCTATTTACTGTATTTTCCAGACTATAAGACGCACCATGATTTTGAAGAGGTAAATTTTTTTTAAAAAGTTTTTGCACTCTGCATGCCTCCCAAAACCTCTGAATGCCTCGTTTCTTGCAAAAAAAGGGGGGCATGCAGAGATTTGAGAAGCTTGTAGAATGTTCCTGGGGGTTGGAGGGGGGCAAAAATGAGCAAAAAGCAAGCCATTTTTTGAAAAAATGGGCTGGTTTTTGCAAAAAAGTGGGGGGCATACAGAGGCTTTGGGAGGCTTGTAGAGTGCTCCTGGGGGCTGAGGGGGGCAAGAATGAGCAAAGCCAGCCCATTTTTGCGCTCCCCAGCCCCCAGGAGCACTTTGCAAGCCTCCCAAACTCTCTGCACGTCCATTTTTGCAAAAGTGGTGCTGTTTGAGAATGCCAAAAATGCTGTATTCAGTGTATAAGACGCACCCAGATTTTCACCCTCTTTTTTGAGGGAAAAGGGTGCGTCTTATACTCTGAAAAATATGGTAATTATTTAAAATGAATTTAAAAATATTTTAATTTTTGCCATTCACATTTCATTCTGTCCCTCCTTTTTCATCTTCTCTTTAATGATTCTATTGCACCATTTCTTTGATAGTAGTGTAAGCCTTGTCCTGCAGTGAGTTGTTCTGTAGCAAGTTGGCCGTGGAGAATTGTCATAGACCCAATTTTTGCAGCTCAGAATTGAAATGAGGGGGTCCTTGGTGCTCTCTGAGGTTGCTTGTGTAAGGTTTCCTGCAAGAGCCCTGCAATAGCTCACTTATTTCTTCCCAAAGATCAGCTCTAAATTGTTACACCAAGCATTTTTGAAACGCAGCTCTAAGAAACTCAGGATGAATTCCATAATTCCTGCTCCCCAGATGTGTTGTACTTCTCAGGATTCCTTGTTTTGACCACGTTAGCTAGGAATTCTGGGATTAGTAGTCTGAAGAGAGCAAAGATAGGGAAAAACTGACATGCTAAAGCTAGCAAAATCCCACTCTCTCACAAGATAAGATATATACATCCTACATACCATCTCGTAAGTAAACATTAGTTATGCAGATTGCTCCATGGATCATAAAACTCATGAATTATCATCCCTCCAAATCTGGTGGATTTAACATCTGCATTGTAAATCCTGGTAGTATACACAATGTGCCTTGAAACAAGACGGTGTTGGATGTTTTAAGTATGAAAAACAAAGTTTGCACTGCCTTTGCAAGCCAACATTTGTTCATAATTTAAAAACAAAAATCTGTGCTTTAATTAAATTCAGAGTCGCCATATTTCTTTTTCACATCCAAAGCCAAAGCTGGAAGAATTGGAGACGATGTAGTAAAGCACAAACGTTGGCATGTGTATTTGTTATGAGTCTAAGGGAGTCATTTGGGGTTAAGCCTGTTGCAGCCGGCAAGAAAAATAAAGCTGAGAAAACATTAGTCTTAATTACTATTATTAAAATGCCATGTTCTAAATCTGAATTTCAAAACATTATCAATGTGTGAAGGGGAAAAAAAGAAAACAACCCTCCCAAGGAGGTGTATATGCAGTATTTCTGGCACAAACCAGCTAAAACAAACAAGGGAGAGTTAAATCTTATACACTGAGCCAGTAATCAATGGCTGAGCTAGTTGGGGATAATAGTTGTTGTCCAGCACATTGGAAGTCAGTGAGTTGGGGGATGCTTGTACAATCATGCAAATCTATATTACTATAGCCACAATACTCTTATTCATGCTATGTATTGGCCATAATCAGATATCTCATCAACCTGGAATTATTCAGAACTCTGGCTCAGTATGAATGAGCCGTAGCCTGGTGCATTGTTGTTAAATTAAGCCCATTTGATTCCTCCAGCCAGCCAGAACCGCTAAGAAACTTGGGCTCTCCTTTCGGGCTTTAACATGATATCTGGCCTGGGACAAACCAAACCACAGGCCTCGTCTCCATCCTAAGAAGTCAAAATCAAAAGCCAAAAACAAACCAATAGACTAGAATGGGCAATTATGAGGGCAAAAAGCAGGTGTCAACTTCAGAAGCAAGTAGGCTGGGACTGAAAGAATAGGGCAATTGAGTGGCAGTCTAGGTGGTAGGCAAGGCTCTAGTCATCCAGAAATCCGCAGGTCTGCAAACCTGGGGCCAGATTGACCATCCAGCATTGTCCTCTAAAGCTAGCTGTGATCAGGAGTTGTTGGATTAACCTGGACTCATCTGTAGTTCCTTCATCCAACACAGCAGAGAGACAGTACCTTTAGGTTCCCAAGACACATCTCCTGGATCTTGAACATACGATGAATTTAACCCAAATCCTTGCAATGTTTACTAAGGATAACAGAACATTATCTGGAGGCATCCCCTTCCATCCCTCCATTCTGAAAAAAAAGCCCTTCTAAAAGAACACAGCTTTAGGAAAATATTTGCAAGTAAGGAAAACAAATTTTCATGGGGGAGGGGAAGGGTTTGTCTCAGAACAAAACAGGACGTACTCATTTGTTCAAAAAAATGTTGTTTCATAGATATTCACCAGAAATTCCACGCCCATTCATGCCTTATTAGTCCATTATGTGCTTTTGATAAATTAATAATAATTCAAAGACTCATTGGATTCCATGTGTGTCTGTTAATAAAAGACATCCAGAGGTTTTCAGTAGATCATGGCCTTTGCAACAATGGCAATGGACTCACTTTGCAATAAAATGAGACAGAATGATCCACATGTCATGTGAAAAAGATACAACAGCGAAGAGCCTGACGGAAGAGGTTACCTAGAATGATAACTCAAGAGGAAGAATGGAATAGATCAGTGATGACAAACCTTATTTGCTCTGGGTGCCAAAAGCGCTTGCTCGCATGCCCACCCCCATAATTTAATGCACCCCATTCTGTGCCCCCTGTGCATATGTGCATGACATCCACCACCACCCATGTGTGCACAGCTTTTTTGGAGCCTGGAGAGGTCAAAAACAACCTGCCCCCCGCTTTGGAGGCCAGAAACGGCCTATTTTCTGACTTCCAGTGGGCCCAGGAGGTCCTTTTTTCCGTGGCACGACAAAACCGCGGTCCACTAAAGTGCGCCCGATTAAAGCGCGTCGCTGACGTCATCAGCAGCACG